AAAAAAAAAAAAAATGCATGAAGTAGAAACTGAAAGAAACTACAAGGAGAAAAATCCAACAAAGAAAAAATCAGTAAAGATATGGAAGATTTAAACAATACTATCAATCTACCTGACCTAGTGGACATTTATAGAACACTCCACCCAACAACCACTAAATATAGTCTTTTCAAGTGCACATGGAACATTTACTAAGATGCACCAAATTATGTGTCATAAAACAAATCTAAATAAATTTAAAATGATTCAAATCATACAAAGTGTTATTCTGTGAACACAATGTAACAAAATTAGAAATCAGTCACAAAAGATCTCTGGAAGAGCCTCAAAATATTTGAAAACACAATACTTCAAAATAACCTATAAGTCAAAGAAGAAATCAAAAGGGCAAATTAGAAAGGATTTTGAACTGAAGGCAGAATAAATGAAACAAGATGGGAAAGTGATCGCTTTTAAGCTAGGCATATTCATTATACTTTTGTGTATATTTGAAATTTTTAAGAAAAAGCTAAAAAAAGTTAAAAAATCAAAATGCTGCTGTATCAGAGATAACAAAATAGAGCTCCCCTTTTTAAATCCATGAGTCTCAAATCCATTCTTCCTAAATTTAACCACTATTGGGAGGCATCTATCACAATTAATGGCACATTATCTTTGTCTCAAACTACCAAAAATTGCCTTGCCCCTCTGTCATTTCAGAAGGCAGAAAATTTCAAAAAGAAAATAAAAATGCCTATGTCCTGTAATAACAAAGGTATTTCAGGAAACAAAGAGAAAATACTCACCTTGGACATTGCGACTGAAACAGCCATTCTTTATTCTCTGGTTTCTACTCTCAGAAAAAGAAAAACAGAATGAGATATTAGGCCTTTCTTGAGGAATATGCTAAATTAGAACATATCCTCTTCCCCCATCCTCTTAATCTCATTTAACATAAAGAAAAGTCAGGCGGAGACTAGAACAGGTCTTCTACCTTCTGTATCAGAAAGAAGGGCCAGGTCACAGCTGTCTTTGGCTTGAATTTATTTCTGGATTCAAAGTTGTATGCTGGAGACAGAGAGCCCTGTGGTGGAGTACTTCAGGTTCAGAACTGTGTGGCTGCCTCCAAAAGCACTCCCTCTGAAACTATTCCCACTCCTGGAATCCCATGACACTTCCAGTGGCCTGTCTTGTTTTTTTTTTTTT